TTGGGTTTCCGAGGCAGTATCACTACGGAAGTAGGATTGCCCAACCTTCCTTCCGAGGAGTGGCTGGTGGGTTTGAACCGCCAGCCTTCAGGTGAGCAGTCAAGTGCCTTAGGCACTATGCTACCCGAGCTCCTACGGACTCGGGCTAGGAGCCTTGAATTTAAATCTTGACTGTGTCGATCAGACTTTGGACTCGGTTTCCCCGTATGTTAACTGGAGATAGTAGCATTTTCTACCAGATAAGTGTTAAGATTTAGTGAGTCAATTTATGTAAGTTCTTAGAGCAGTGCCTGGTGCTTGCTATAATATTCTGACTATAGCAATTCCATGAGTGTCAGGGTAAACTGTGCTCCATGGTAGCGTAGTGCCTAAGGCACTTGACTGCTAACCAGAAGGCTGGTGGGTTTGAACCACCAGCCACTTCTTGGAAGGAAGATTGGGCAATCTACTTCCTTAGTGATACCACCTCTCAGAAACCCAAGGAGGGGTCACTATGAGTAGAGTCATACTTGAGGGCACATAACAACAACAGCATGGTGTTTTCAATGGCTGGTTTTCAGATGTAGATTGTCAGGTCTTTCTTCCAAGGCACTTCTGGTGGGTTCTACCCTCGGCTAGCAGCCACCATATTAAATGTTTGCAACACCCAGGGACTCCCTCAGTATGTGGGAAGTGCTTTATAAGGATTAGCCATTATCTTTATTTCTGCTGGAAGGGTTGGAAGTGGAGGATTCCCAAGCCCAGGAACACCTTCAAAGGGCAGATACCTGTTTGGGGAGTTGCAGGGCAGCAAAAGTGCTTTCTGGGGGTATCATAACTTTAGTTTGAGGCTGAGGCAATTTAATGCTTTGCCTTAGAGGCTGTCATGTTATTTTAAATTATTTTATGTGGGTTAATCTTGTTTCTTCCAGGTAGAATATAAACACTTTCAGGGCAAGGGCCTTCCCTTATATCAACCACAGATCTAAGCACACAGTGGATGCGAGATGGACATTTCTTTCAGATGTCACATTTTGTGCATCCAGAAATAGAAACAACCCTCCATCCAGCCACCATAAACAACTTGCCCTTTCATTCACACGCACACCCCTGCTCTGGGGCTCCCTCTGCCTATAAAGCACATCCATTGCTTCCAGAGCCGGGAAAATGTTCCTTCTGCTCTGGAGTCACCTGATACATCACTTCAATCTGAGCACCTTCTTGATCCCTTGGACAGAATTAATTTCACCCTCAATGCTTTGGCTTTGTTCGTAACGTTTTTATAGCACTTATCACCATCTGATTTGGTGTTACAGTGATTTAAAAACTAGTCATCTATATAGATTATCACCTCCACAGACTTTTCCTTGAGTCTAGCTTGGAGTTTGGCGTCTGCTGAATTAAATTAAAAAATTGGGACTGGTTAATAGCAAGTCGGACTGGCAAAGAAAGGCACAACTGCGTCTTCTGGAAGCAAGAGTGGCAATCTCCAAGGCAATTTCGGAGCTGAGGCCTCCAGCAGCCACTCTGACACAGCATTCTCAAGATAGCAGGAAAAAGTCAGAGTTACTCAGAGAACAGACTCAGATTTTCAGTGAGAAACACCTTTTCTAGAAATCTTAAAAGAGCAAAAACAATGCAAGATGGGTTTCACTACTGTTGACATCTTACTAGGAATGCAGGGATTCTAGTGTTTTGTCTTTCCCCACTTAGCTCTCTTTGTAACAATTATAATCACCTTTGAAATTCTGTCACTAAAACCTCTGTTTAGGACCTCTGGTGTAGTGGATAAGGCATTTGGCTGCTAATCCAAGGTCAATGTTTCAAACCCACCACCGGATCTCAGAAGGAAGATAGGGCGATCTACTTCTGTAAAGATTTACAGCCTCGGAAACCCAACAGGGGTCGCTATGAGTCAGAATCGACTTGATGGCAGTGAGTTTGGTTTTTGTCTTTTTGAAACCTTATCTTTAGGATCCTAATGTAATTGCGACGTCAGTGCAAGCCTACACTACAGCCCACTCTGATATTTTTCTCTTTTGCCAAAAGTCCTTACAGCATCTGTGCCACTAGAATGCCACTCACATTCCACAGTGTAACACCCAGTTTTATTATTTTACTTTTCACAACTGATTATAACTTGTCTTTAAAAGATTGCTATCTCCATGAGGGCAGAGACTTGACTTTGACATATCAAGAAATATGGTGAAATCCAATGTCAAAGAAATAAACTGTGACTAAGTGAATTTTACTCTGTCCTCTAAGGTTGCTCTGAGCGGGAATCGACAGGACGGCAGCGGGTTTTAAGTGAATTTTATAGTTCCCTTCCTTTACAGTTCCTGTCTGCTTTTCTTTATCTGAGAAATGACTTTTATTAATGTAAGAATAAATATATTGTTAAAAACTAGACTTTTACTGTAGTTAAATGGTATTTTAACTCAGAAATCACCGTTGGTCTCTTTAAAGATTACTGTGTAAGACTGTTAACTTTAGCCTACACTAGGTTGAATACTATTTTACTTTAATACTGTTTATGGTTCTCTGGATTAGATTCAACTACTTATTAAGAAGGATAAAAATCTGTTACTCCAAAAGCAAATAAAAGGAAAAATAGATGGATGTTTAAATAAGAGTTTTATATTTCCATTTACAAGACTCTGTGGCCTATTTTTTCATAACTTAAAGATCATAGTGTTAATTGATGCATGTAGTTGTACGCAAACAAGTATTATATTTGGACAACTCTTCAAGGGAACCGAGCACTACAGATACTCATTAAAACTGAGTTGAACAAGACATAAATTTTGTGTCAATATCGTTCTATAGATAGTCGGAAATGAAACAGACTAACCAGATACATAAAACTGATAAAATTGAAGCACTCTGCTTTAAACCCTGAAGTAAAACAATCTTACCAGCAAGTAAAATGCAATGGAACAGGCTTGACAGATTTAGAATGGTGTCATTTCAAAGGAATTAAGTAATTAAAATCTGGCAAACATAGCTTAACAAAATTCACGCTAATATCCAGTTCACTCAAGTAGTCTATATAAAAATGATAACATAAGCAGGGATAAATGCCTTTTTAAGATTAATTTATTATATGTGGCAACAACAGCATGTCATTCTTAAATAACCGATATCTCCCAAGAGACTTAAATGGTGTTCATTTCTAAGATCTCTTGTTACTACATAATTTTATTTCTCTCCTTTAACCCCTAACATTCAATAATTAATCATTTACATTTTTTGCAAAGGTGTGAATTAGCTGTGGAAATATTTAAGGGAAAAGTAGCTGAGTTCCTTACATAAAATTGTACAATCTAAAGGTCAGACCCCCAAAATTACCAAGTCATTGAAATTAATTTAAGAAGTCAAGGTTTGGCTAAGAAGTACCCATTTATTCAGGTTCTTTAGAACCAGTTGCAATCTACTTCAGGCTTTCACTAAACAAAATTTCTGGCTTGCAGCTATGAACATTGTATTTAATATCATGAATGTTCCCACAGGACTGAATGGACACCACCACAGTAACACTTCTGAGGAAAAGCAGGAAGGAGCAGGTGATTTGTGGTCAGAAAATCTTGAATCTACCCTTTTGACTTGAGGCAAGTTGAGTAACCTCTCTGAACCTCAGTTTCCTCTACTTTAAAATGGGGCTGATATTTTTCTTTGGTAGGGGAAAATAAAAAAATTACAAAATGAAATAATAAATTTGAATATACCTGGTACACAAGGGGCAATCGGTATGTGTTAGCTGAGTGTTGATTAATATTTTAACTAAATATTTTTACAATGCACCTAATTTAAATACATATATTCAGAAAGCATTTATCAATTGCCAACTCAGAATATGCTGTTTAATTTT